AGCCCGGCGCAGAACCTCTTCTCTGCTCCTTAGCTTCTTAGGTTTCCAATCCTAAGAGTCTTCAATCCTCAAGTCACTAGCTCAATACCTGCACAAAAAATGAGGTGTATTAAGGTATTGTTAGCTGAATTTGGGTTAGTTATATCTGCACACAAAATGAACCAAAAAGAGAACAATTATATTGCAATGGTTCAAAGGATGAGTGGAATTTGTTCAATAAGTCTCATCCAAAAAGAGGTAAAATTGAGACTTAACAGCCTCTTAGAATCACGTTGCAACGAACCTTGAGACTCAACGTAAATTAGTAACTTTTGAAGTACATATGCATTGAAAATCAATACGTAATGACTTTTGAAGTACATATACATTGAAAATCAATAATGACTTTTGAAGTACAGTAAATGTAAACAAGAGGAACAAATGTGTTCAATGTATTCTTAAGCAAGTTTGGCATATATAAATTACATGAATGTGTTAGAGTATTCAAACCATATCTCACAAGATGACTTCTCATCTAAAAGGTGTTGCAAAATCAACTATGTCAGATCAAATACGTAAGGAGTTGTGTGAGTATAAGAGAGATAATCCTGCAAGCACACAAAAAGACTTGCAGAGATGACTTGAGGGAAAATTTCATTTGAAAGTTAGTCAAGGAACAATATCAAACACACTTAAGCGGTCAAGGAATCATATTTCAATAGAATGTAATATTTTTTTTTTCAGTTTCTATGAATTATTAATTTATGATTTTCTTGGGATTGAAAATTATAAAGGGATCTCCCGAAAAATTATTATCTTATTATTTTATCAAAATTTTCAATTTTTTACATTGGCCCAAGTCGGGACTGGACAAATTTATTATTTTAGAGAGTTTATTAATTTACCGAGTATTAATTTAAAGAGTTTCTACTGTATATAGAACTGATGAAAGTATTAATTGTCTTGTCATTTACTTATTGTCATTATGATTGATGCTATAATTTTAAAGAACAAATGAATATTCGAAGAGGGGACAAAAATTATAAATTCTATAAAATTGTGAGCTAAATTTGAAGAATTAAAAATTAGCAGATCAAACTTGCAAATCAGATACTAGGGAACTAAAATTGCAATTATCATATTGCATAAATTTAAGGATTTTAACAACATTTTCTAACATTGTGTGAATTTTAACTTATTGATAATTATATGTCATATGTTGATTATTTGTTAAATTGAATCCCTTCCACAGCTCCTAAAACTCGCCCCTGTGTGAATAAGGGAGAAAACCTCGAAAATGGCTTCAAGTACGAGCTTGGAGAGATCAGATTAGGGTTTCGCGCCCGGCGCAGGGTCTTTTGAGCACTCTCTGCCTCAGTGTAAGCCCGGCGCAATTTTCTTTTACGCCCGGCGTAATGTCTTCCAGAGAGTTTCAAGTCTTCTCTGCCTCAGAACACGCCCGGCGCAATTCCGTTTACGCCCGGCGCAATACCTTCCAGAGAGTTTAAGGTACTCTCTGTCTCGATCGCGCCCGGCGGAGGTAGTCTCGCTCCCGGCGCAGGCGTGACTTTCAGAGATGGAACACTCTGTTCTTCTCAAGCCCGGCACGGGTCATCTTGCGCCCGGCGCAGCCACTCTGCTCTACTTCCTACTTCTTAGATTTTCAATCCTAAGGTCTTCCATCCTCAATTCACTAGCTCAATACCTGCACAAAAAATGAGGTGTATTAAGGTATTGTTAGCTAAATATGGGTTAGCTATATCTGCACAAAAAGTGAATCAAAAAGGGGACAATTGTCTTGTAATGGTGCAAAGGATGAGTGGATTAGTTCACTAAGTCTCAACCAAAAAGAGGTATAATTGAGACTTAACAAATAGTCAATAAATGTTTATTTTACCTACTAATCCCTGTGGATACGATAATTTTACTACTTGAACGCCGATATACTTGTCGTGTTTGAGACCGTTGATAGAATTAAACTGATTTACAATTATAACAAAAGTATTTCAACGGAAATATCAACACTAAGTTAATGAAAACAAATCATTTAAAAAAATTATTATTATACATATGAAAATAAAATTATAAAATATTACATTAAAAAAAAGAGACAAACAGTTTTTAGAAATGAAAAGTTTGTCAAAAAGGGACTTAAATATAAAATAGAAAATAAAAAATAAAAGATAAAAAAATTTGATAAAAATTGAGAAATTTAGAGCACTAGGTTTAGGTTATAAATCTAGGAGGGCAAAAAAAAAAACATAAGATACATACTTGTATTATCTTTAAACCCTAAATCCTAAATCTCATAAAGTACATGTAGATTTTCCACTGAACACATGCAAGCAATTGCCACTAAGGTTAACGAAGGACGAAATAGGAGGAGCTCCTAATGAGAAAAATGGAGCACATTGCCACCAGACTCCAACATGAGCGATGGAAAATGTTAACGCCCTCAAGGACATGAAAGGACACAATAGGAAGAAGCTCCTAAATGAGGAATGTGCAATAAGGACTCTAGCCAAGTAACAGTGGTAATGTCAAAGTTGGAGAGGTAGGAAATGGAGAAGATGAGAGAGCGGAGCCACGCGAGGAGGGATGCCAAATCCCCATTGTCGTGCTTCATCATCTCATTGTCATGGTCCATTATCAAACTCCACTCTCAAATGTATGTTGTCTATCATCTTACACATTATATATTTGAAGATTAAGATTGTTTTGTTAATGGTGGCGGTTGTTGATGACATCATTGTTATGGTGGTGTTGGGTGATGTTAGAAGAGAGGAATGGAAAGATGGGGGAAGAAGAAACACCGTTGCCAAAAATCGTTTCCGACAACAATTTATTATTGTGAAAGTTGCTCAAAAGAAGAAAAAAGTAATATTATAGTGTGGAGTACACATCATAATAATTGTAAACTAAATTAATCTAAAGAATGACATTTGTTGTCCATAATGGACTACCTATAAAGGTGGATCATCATAGAATTTGTCAAAAATAAATGGAAAAAGTAACTAATAATACAATAGTTTTGCCATCATAATTATCTCTATTATAATTATCACAATTATCATTTTTATTGTTACTGTCACCAATTATCATGATTCATATTGGTATCATCATCACCGTTGCTATTACTACTTATGATAATGATAGCAACAATAACAATGATCAGAATAGAAGTGATCACAATAATAATAATGGATCTTTCTTTATATATATATAGTAAACATATCATGAGAATTTTTTTAAGGTGAGAATGAATATGATCAATATGAATTTTTAAAATAAAATAAATGACTTATATTAAATGACTTACTTAAAACTATAATTCCGAAGCTCTTTCACCCATGTCGCATGCTAATCCTAACTATACTTGCCATTGCCAACTTTCTTCACTCACCAACCAGAACATGACTGAACTTCAGCATGAGGACTTCACCGGCATCATTCTCCCAAAGCCGAAGCACAAAACTTAAATTTCACTTCATGCAATTGCTCGACGCTGCCAAAACCATTGATCATCTAAAACAAACACATGCTCTCTTTCTCAAACTCCTCACGCAACAACTACCCCATCATTGCCATTACTTCATGGGTCGGCTGTTACACCGAGTTCTCCATTTAACAAGTGAAAAAGCCAATCTTTGCTATGCCCACCAACTGTTTGACACTATGCCAAACTGCCCCAATAGTTTCCTTTGGACCTCCCTTATACGTGCATTCCTATCCCATCGGGACCATCTTCGTCATTGTATTTCTACCTATGCTAGAATGCATCAAAATGGGGTTTTGCCATCTGGGTTCACCTTCTCTTCGGTACTTAGCGCGTGTGGGCGAGTCCCTGCCGTGTTTGAAGGAAAACAAGTGCATGCCAGGTTGGTGCAGTCTGGGTTTCTTGGAAACAATATTGTGCTAACTGCACTGCTCGACATGTATGGAAAATTTGGCTGCATAAGTGACGCACGTGATGTGTTTGATAGGATGGATGACAGGGATGTTATTGCTTGGACGGCAATGATTTGTGGGTATGCCAAGGTAGGAATGATGGTTGATGCACAGTGGCTCTTTGATAACATGGGGGAACGAAATTCTTTTACTTGGACTACTATGGTTGCTGGATATGCAAATTGTGAAGACATGAAAGCTGCAAAGGAATTGTATGATGTCATGAATGACAAAAATGAGGTCACTTGGGTTGCAATGATAGCAGGTTATGGTAAATTAGGTAATGTGAGTGAAGCCAGAAGAGTATTTGATGGGATACCTGTACCACAGGGTGCATCAGCTTGTGCAGCAATGCTTGCATGTTATGCACAGAATGGATATGCAACGGAAGCTATTGACATGTATAAGAAAATGATAGATGCAAAGATCCAAATTACTGAGGTGGCAATGGCGGCTGCTATTTCAGCTTGTGCACAACTTAGGGACATTAGAATGTCAAACACACTTACTGACCATCTTGAGGAGGATTGCTGTGGTAAGCTCTTCAGCTATTGATTGTCTGTTGTTATTATTTTGTCAATTCAATCCATTTAGGTCACAGTAACATTTGTCCTTTTGCTTGATTGGAACCTGTTCTTTTATCGCAGATAGGACACATATTGTTTCCAATGCGTTGATCAATATGCACTCAAAATGTGGAAATATAAACTTAGCATTGAGCGAATTCAGTACGATGAGATACAGGGATATGTATACCTACAGTGCAATGATCGCAGCCTTTGCTGAGCATGGGAAATCACAAGAAGCTATAGACCTTTTCTTAAAGATGCAAAAGGAAGGATTAAAGCCAAACCAAGTCACATTCATTGGTGTCCTCAATGCATGTGCCTCTTCAGGTCATATTGAAGATGGTTGTAGGTTTTTTCAGATTATGACTGGTGTATTTGGTATTGAGCCCTTACCTGAGCACTATACTTGCATAGTTGATCTCCTTGGGAGGGCTGGGCAACTAGAAAGGGCATACAATATAATAAAGGAGAATGTAACCAGTACTGATGCAACAACTTGGGGTTCTTTGTTGGCAGCTTGCAGACTTTATGGTAATGTGGAACTGGGTGAGATTGTAGCCCAACATCTCTTTGAGATTGACCCTGAGGATCCTGGAAATTATGTGCTTCTAGCAAACATTTATGCATCAAAGGGTCAATGGGAGCGCGCACAACAGGTTATGAAGTTGATTAGTGAAAAGGGAATGAAAAAGCCTTCAGGGTATAGTTCGATTCAGTGAGTGATCAAGGAACAGTGTAAAGAAGAAGCACTTTGATTGTTAATTTCAGCCAGTATATCCTCTTTCAATCAATATAATGATGTTCTCCTGATCACTTGTATACTGGCCAGCATTGAAGGTTTTTAGTAATCATGGGATGGGTTTAAATTTCCAGCTTTATTTTCTGGGCCATGCACGTATATAAGATATCAATATCATCATGTAAGGCATTAAGCAAGGCTGTTAATCCATCTTATAACAGGAACGAGCTTCACATGACTGTCTTGGGGTTGTATTGTGCTCATGGTACAGAAGTTAAGTTCTCTACTATGCAGAATTAGCATGCCGGGGATGAGGATGGGAATGAGGGATTATAGAATTTTGTCACGAAAAGGGGACTCCGTGCGGGACATACTCTAAAGATATCATGGGCACTGGAGGAGACAGGATCCAACATTACTAGGATTTACAGTTATTGTTTTGGAGGGAGATGGTGCTGTGGGGAGCTTTTATTTGGTTGCTTTGACTTATAACTATCAACAAACGGATAAAGATGATTCACAAGGGGTAGAGGACAATAGGGTTATGTTATAACCCAATGTGGACATGAACGGAACTGTAAAGGGCTGGGAGTACTCAAAACTTATTAGGAAAAACTCAAGGCTGGATGTAGAAATAAAGCCAAAACTCACATTTTAAGATAGTACTTACTATATTTTCACACGCCCAACTTAATAGTATTGGACATGAATGGAGTATTGAAAAACTCGAATCCTATATTTCTAATTTTGAGTATTGAAAAATACTTATTTTGTATGCATTCATAATCTCTAACAGAGATTAGTCACTGTTTACTTAGTGGATAATTTTTACCAATTCGATGGTTACTCAAAATTCAACATTTTAAAAGACATATCAGCTATTCTAAGTGATGATTGACAACCGCAAAGTTATTATACAGTAGAGATTTGTAACTCATGAAAAATGAGGTCTATGATTTCTTCTGAATTTATTATTATTAATAATTTAGCACAACCCAAGTTTTTAGTTCGATTATTTTGCTCCTAGATTGATATTCGATTAGATTATGAATTATTAAATATTATCTTTGATCAATCCTGGAACCTGGTGAATAGTGATTTATATCCCTCTCTTTCTGTGTGTCATTATATTAACTCCTTAAAATTTGATTGCTGCAGATAGATACCGCGTTGTGATTAGTGATTTATATCCAATTCTCATCTCTCACCTCTCACGCTGCCTTTCTCCATTCCCTCTGCAACCCCTTTCCAGAGGTCGAACTAGTTTAGTAGATAATACATGGAGAACACTTTGGTGAACAGACAGCAAAACCTTATCATTGATTCAATGAACCTTGCAGAACCATCGGGATCAGAAAGTTGACATTCATCTGTTAGAGCACTAAACAAAAATAGTTGCTCCAATGATTTTACAATAGCTGCCCTATTCAAACAAGAGATAAGCACAAGCAATATTTGCCAGGTCAAAACACTTTTAAAAATTATAGTAACAAAGATCCCTAAAAAATGCTTATTCAGTTCAGGAAATCCAATCACACTCCATGTTATCCAAGAGTGCTATTTTGATTGTAAAGCAAGCATAAATCTATAGAATTTAATAATCATATAAGGTGAGAGTTAACACTCGACACCAAAACACAAAACAATTTACCTCAAAAACTTGCATCAGGAAGGACTTGATGAATTTGCTTTTGTTAATGTTTCCACTCCCGACCTCCAACTTCCAAGCGTTTTCAATTGTTTTGGATCAATATTTTATAATTTTCAATAAGTGGAATAATTAACGTCAATATGCAAATCAATTTTTAGATATTAAATCCGAAACATTTTTTGATATATATATATATATATATATATATATATAATTTATTATAAATTTTAGTTATATATAATAAATATTTAGTTTGTATGTTCAAAGTTTCAAAGCAAAACATTTAAATAAGTTTGTCTACTAAATAAGTTTATTTTATCCAAATTTTTAGTTTCTTATCAAACTCGTTCTTATTCAATTACTTAAGTTTTTGAAGGTAACTCACTAAAAATAATAGTTATGGAATTTATATGTTTAGTGTGATAATTTGTAATTGATAATAGTGGTTAGTTATTTTAAGTTATTATTTATCTATTGAAATTCAACTTAGTATTAGAGAGTATATCATAATTTATGCAATTCAACATTTTGATTAATCACTAGAGTTAATATAGTGGTAAAAATCAAATAATATCTAAAAAGTCTTAGATTCAAACTCTGATAGTATTTATCATTATAATTTTGGTGGATAAAAACAAATTTAACATTATGATACATCACATAATGTGTAAGAAAAATGTGTATTAGAGTATTATGCAAGTTTAGAACACGCACAAACTTCATTGATCAAGTTCAAAAACATGTAAATAATGTACTTTGAAATAAAATCAGTATATGATGAACAATAATGTACTTTGAAATAGAAATAATATATGATGAACAATATATTATTTTCAAAGTACTATTATTGTGGTGGAGTTACATTCTCAAACCAATAGCTACGTGCTCAATTGATAAAATGATACAATAATTATAGTTCATTGTTTTACAATGAGTCAATTAAAAGTTTTTTTTTTTTTTTTTTACTTTTCATGATAGTCTTCTAAATAAATATTAGATCATTTGTCATATCTTTCCAACAATATGTAACTCAAATTTTTTTATCCTTTCTGGTATTACCACTTCTATCCTATAAATTAGTTTCTATTTGCCTTTTATAGTATTAGCTCTCTTATTTCACAATTCTCATATTTGAATTAGTTTATTTTTCATGTTGTCTTTTTTTATCATATATACAGTGAAACAATAAACTAGTGAATTATTTGTTTTTGTACTTGACAATGTATTCTAAATATAGTAGTTATAATTATGATATAGGATTAAATATGTTTTTAGTCCCTCAAATTTATGGTAATTCTGTTTTTGGTCCCTCAAATTTAAAATTGTTGTTTTTAGTCCTTGTAATTTCAAAAAATCTTATTTTAGTCCTTATATTCAAATTTTGTTAAGAAATTTATCAAACATTATTGCATAAAATTTATTTATTAGTATCCTTATCAGTGAAAATATCACATTAAATCTGGTTAATGTTGCATAACTGTATTAATTAGTCATTTTTAAATATGTTATTGGTGACCTAAGGGACTAAAATAAGATTTTTAAAAATTATAGGGACTAAAAACAACAGTTTTAAATTTGAGGGACCAAAAACAAATTTGTCTTAAATTTGAGGGACATATATATATATATTTTCAATATCAGTTCACTTTCCATCCATTCACTTCATTCGATTTATCTTTGTCATTAAGTATTAAATTCATTCGTAGAATTTAATTTTGTAGGATGAATATAAATGCAAATGACACATTATTTGCATCAGTAAATCTAATCAATGCATCTCAACATCTTGTAAAATATAACGTTTGTCTTCACACTCCACCCCATATGGCATATGGGGAGGACATACCACGCAAGGGCCACCAATAAGGTCATATTTCCCAATATTCCTACTTCAAGTGGTTGTTATATATACTATAACACGAGCTTTACATTTTCCGATGAATCTATTTGAATGTATTCACTAATATTTTACATCATATCATCTCCAACCTTTTGCATTTCCCTAGAGCAAGAACAAATTAGATGCATAGGTAAAAGAATTTTAATTTCTTATTGATTTTTTTTATGATATATAACACTTTATTTAAAAAAAAAGAAATCAATGCAATTTTAGTTAATTATATACAAGTAATGTATTGTAATATATCATATTATTAGTATGAAAGTTCACTAGTTATTGAATTAGCTAGTATTTACACGATTTTTGCTTTAAGTGATTGACCCAATGAGGAATTTTTCCCTCGTTTGGATCCTTAGTCCACTTCAAATAATTTCTTAACATTCATAACTTACAAGAATATGTAAATCAAATTTTAAAAATTTAAACATTGGAATCTAATTTTAAAAAAATGAAATTAATTATAAAATTAATCTAAAATGTGTATTTTCTCAAGATCAAACTTGTTTCAAAAATTAATTTTTTGATTCAGCACTAATTTAAATCAACCAACCTTGCTAGTATTGCTCAAGACATTTTGTTCAAATATAATGACTCTTCATACATTTTTTAATTTTCATATCTTAATTATATCTTTTAAGTGTAATTAATCATTTGATCTGTAAAATATGAATCATTTTTCGTTTCAGGACATATTTAAATAAACTTTTTATTAGTACATTTCAAGAGAAGAGAACAAAAATTACAAATAAAATAAGTTTTGCCAAAAATTAACTTATATTTATAAGTTTATTTGTATATGTTCTCTAATATTAGCTTCTTCAAAATATATTTTTTAACTTATGTACAAAGTAATTTTAATTTATAATTTTTTTTTTAATTTTCTTCTCCTAATAGAGTTTAAGAAAGCATTTATCCATACAGACCTTTAGTGTATATTCTTAAAACTATAGATTTTAGTTATTATACAACAAATATTTTATGTCTTAGTTTTTATGTTTTTACTTTATAGCAATTTTGCACCACTACAAAATAAATATTAGAGACTAAACATAAAAAAAATGTATGTATAAAAATTAAGCTTATAAACAAAAATAAAAAGTTAGCACTGATATAGGACCAAATGATTGCATAAACTTATCTTTTATATGTGTATTTTATTTTATCTTTAAGGAATTAAATTTCAGAACTATTTGAAACACGAAACTCAGAAATATAGGGATGTGAAGTATTATTGCTTTGGGACTATACAAGCCCACTGGATCCAAACCCAGACCGGCCCAACCCAGATCCACGCACTCACTTCAGTTTGAATTTCCCGACCTTATATCATTTTTGAGTTAATCATTTATATACTGTTAGTATAAAGTTTTTTTATACTGAGAATTAATTATATTATTTAATTGTGCTATGTCACTGTAAACATATTTATTTTTAATTGTGACATGGCACAATTAAATGATATAATTGATTATCAGTGTAAAAAAACTTTATACTGACAGTGTATAAGTGATTAACTCTTCATTTTTTACCTTTTGTTAGTTAACTTATGTACAAAGTAATTTTAATTTATAATTTTTTTTTTAATTTTCTTCTCCTAATAGAGTTTAAGAAAGCATTTATCCATACAGACCTTTAGTGTATATTCTTAAAACTATAGATTTTAGTTATTATACAACAAATATTTTATGTCTTAGTTTTTATGTTTTTACTTTATAGCAATTTTGCACCACTACAAAATAAATATTAGAGACTAAACATAAAAAAAATGTATGTATAAAAATTAAGCTTATAAACAAAAATAAAAAGTTAGCACTGATATAGGACCAAATGATTGCATAAACTTATCTTTTATATGTGTATTTTATTTTATCTTTAAGGAATTAAATTTCAGAACTATTTGAAACACGAAACTCAGAAATATAGGGATGTGAAGTATTATTGCTTTGGGACTATACAAGCCCACTGGATCCAAACCCAGACCGGCCCAACCCAGATCCACGCACTCACTTCAGTTTGAATTTCCCGACCTTATATCATTTTTGAGTTAATCATTTATATACTGTTAGTATAAAGTTTTTTTATACTGAGAATTAATTATATTATTTAATTGTGCTATGTCACTGTAAACATATTTATTTTTAATTGTGACATGGCACAATTAAATGATATAATTGATTATCAGTGTAAAAAAACTTTATACTGACAGTGTATAAGTGATTAACTCTTCATTTTTTACCTTTTGTTAGTTACTCTGGACTTTTTTACCTGTTCATTTCTTAATAAAATCCTACGAAATCCTAAACCAATACACCCCCTTAGTTGGTTGGTCACCAAATGACTTTCAATGTCCTCCTACAAAAGATTCAAAATCAAGTCAATCAAATACGTAAAACAAACGAACATGAAATGAATTACAAATTCTATTTCAATATATAAATGAAAAATTAGAATTTCATATATACAAGCGAATGTTAGTGACATATTTCTTATTTAAAAAATGTTAATGATACTCTCTTAATATTTTATTATTATTTGTCATTAGTTGAAAATCTCAATTTTTAGTGAATTCTACCATTAAACAAGGATAAACTCACTAAGTGAGATAAAAAAAAATTATAAAAATTGTGATCTTTAATAAAATTTAATCTAATAATAATATCATTAGAAAAAGAATGTTAAGAATAAAAATTTGATAAATCAAGTGATTTAATATTTTTTCCTTAATTAAGAACTCGAAATCAATCTTGTCATAGGCATAAAGTCATGATCGGAAGTTAAAATTATACTTTCTCATAGAATAAAAAAAAATATTAAAGAAAATACTGAGGGACGTACATCAAAACCAAGACTTGGGCTTGGGCCGCAAAACCCAGGTCCTAATTTTGGGTTGAAAAGGGTGGGTGGTTCATTTTCCATACAAAAAAAGCGAAATGGAAGCACATCCAAACGCGGCCTCCATGCTGAGAAGCAGAACTATAATACCTCATCCTCCACCGTTGCTCGCCCTCACTTCGAGGCTGCCGTCACCGTCACCGTCACCGTCACCGTCAGTCACCGTCTCTGAATCCGCACTACCCTGTTCTCGGAACCCTAAACCCTCATTGCTCCGTTTTCCTCTCTTCTCGAATCCTCACACTCACACTCTTCAAAGCATGACGCTCTCCAACTGCTTCTCTCACTCCGGGCCCACCGTCCCCATTCCGGGTCAACCCGAATCCGAATTCGAATCCGATTCCGATTCCCCTCACACTCTCGTCGTGGTTTCCTTCTACAAGTTCGCGGATTTCCATGATCACGCCCTTCTACGAAGCCCCTTGAAGCAACTCTGTCAACGCTTGGTACTCACTTTCTCTATTCACTTCTCAAAATATTATCAAAATTCATTTTTTATATATAAAAAAAAAAAAATTGAACTTGGCTAGACCCTTTTATCAAAATTCAATTTAGAGATTGAGGGAAAAGAAAGTAGGTTTAAGTAAAAGAGGGGAGTAGTTTAAGATAGTTGAAAAATGATTTTTTTTTTAGTCAAAGAAAAAACACATTAAATAACACTACATTGTCAAAAACATCGATAATGTAAAAGAGTGATTAAATGAGAGTCTCGTATTAATATTTCCATCCAAGTGTCATGTCAACTTCATGACAGGGTTAGAGCCTGTTTGAATAAGCTTAAAACAGCTTTTGAGAGCTTTGGAAAAAAATACTCTTTATTTTTTGGTTGAAAAGCTTTCAAAAACTCTTCTAAGCTTATATCCAATCAGACTCTTGTTTAGCTTTAGTTAGAGTTAGTTACAATAATTTAGTTGGTTAATGAAATAGAATCTCGAAATGTTTTGTATGTAATGATCTAATTAGAATGATTTTTGTGCGAATTGTTTGTTTGGTTTGTTGAGGTGTGGTGTGGTGTCTCACCCATCTGATGCTACTCAGCGTGTTTCAGGTGGAATTATTCTTGCGCCTGAAGGGATCAATGGCAGCATATGTGGGACACGGGAATCGGTGGAGGAAGTTCTTGCCTTTGTGGAAAGTGATGATCGATTGAAGGGGCTAAGGCGGGTTGAGTCGCCTGTTAGTCCTGAGGAGGAGGCCATCCATCATGGGCATAGTGCCGCATCTCCTCTTGCTGCGGGGGAGGATGCACCCTTTCGATGGGACCATGTGAGGGTCAAGTTGAAGAAGGAGGTGTGTTCACAATGCCAAAACAATGGAATAACTTGTTGGGATGTTGTATGCAAATAAGTTACAGAACTTTGTTTTTGCTACATGTTTGCAGATTGTCACTCTTGGGATGCCTACCGTGTCACCTATTGAAAGGGTTGGAAAGTATGTTGGCCCAGAAGAGTGGAATTCTTTAATTAGTGATCCGGATACAGTGAGTAGCTAACTCTTATTATCAATGTTATGTTATCTCAATTGGGAGGCTGTCTTTTATTATGAGATCTTATGACCTGTGGGGACTTGAACATGTATAATTTCAGTTGTTTGGATTCTTGAGAATATTGAATATCCAAGCTGCTCTAGTGTTGAATATTTTAAACATTTGTTTGTTTGCCATTGCTGGAGACAAATCTAGTATGGCTTTAGACCATGGGTTTTCTACCTAAAAGGGGATTGCGGGGAGGACTTTTGTAATGTCCAAAAAATTTAAATGGTTTTTTAGAATTTATATTTCTGTTTATCTATTCATTCATTTTACAAGGATATTCTTAGAATTCGTATGATGTCTTACTCATACCAAGTTGGGGTTTCTGATTGTCAACCTCTATATGTTAGGATTGCCTATTGTTTTTGTTGGATAAAAGTTTAGATAATTCATTTCATATGCCTATGATGGAGAAGTGCAGTAGTGAATTTCACATGTAGCAAGATGGGAAGGGGGAAACATGGTATTGGTATTGTATATGCCATAAATACTGAATTTTTACTGTTATTGACATCCTCATGTGCAGGTGGTAATTGATGTTCGGAATAACTATGAAACCAGAATAGGAAAGTTTAAAGGAGCCGTTGATCCCTGTACTACGTCATTTCGTGAATTCCCATCTTGGGTGGAGGAGCATTTTCAGCTTGCAAAAACAGATGGTGATGAGCAGCCAAAAGTCAAGGAAAACAATTCCTTCCAAACTTCTGAAAAAGAAATGGAGAATCAAAAACAACATATGCCACGTGTTGCAATGTATTGCACTGGAGGTATTCGATGTGAGAAAGCTACAAGTCTACTTCTTAGCAAAGGTTTCAAAGAGGTGATTATCCCCTTGAATTTTATTATTTTGCGCAAACAAAATTGTTTGAAAAACTCACTTGACCTTTTTTTTTCTTCTTCTCTTATCTAAGAAAAATAAGCATTATTTCCCTTTGATGATTGTTGTTCATAATATATTAACATCTCAAGGGGTTTTCTGTTAAATTGTTAATGCCGAAACCTATCAAATAGGTCAAGGAAAGGCCCCGTGTTAGTCTTACTTATGTTTGAAGCCTTGTCAAATATACTTATAACACTAATAAGTTAGTCTGTCATATAATAAGCTTATGCAGTTCTGGTGAGTTTTTGGGATTGAAACAATTTGGCAGGTCTTAGAATTGTGCTCATGGTAAAATATTTTTTCCTAACAAAACTCCGAAATGATTTTAAATAATTTTGGCCTACTTTTCTGTTGCACCTCTTGCATCATTTATAATTGAAGCTAAAAAATAATTGCTAAAGCAGGGCTAAGTGCCCTCCCATGTATCCACTCTAGTCTTCTGGCCATTATTTTCTTTGCAAATTGCATGGCTAAGGCATTATGACGAGTGTGTGCAAGACCACCTGTCTTGAGGAAGGGGAGTTTATCAATGATTTAAACTAGACTTCGGGAATACAAACTAGTAGTCTTATAAGGAATTAGTTTGCTTTGCTGTTTACAAGTCTTCTGTTAAACCACTTTTATTACTTTTATTATTATTATTATTATTATTATACAATAATCTAAATACCCACCTTCTTAACACACACAGACTGTTTAGATATTTGATAAACAAGTCAATATTAATATTTACTGCTGCTATGAATGTGAGCTTTAATAATTGTAGTTTCATTTTATTAACCGACATACAATATGATTTTCTCATTTTTCTATTTAAAAACTTGGCAGGTTTTTCACCTGGAAGGTGGAATTCTAAAATATCTTGAGGAGGTTCCAGAGACAGAGAGCCTCTGGGAAGGAGAGTGCTTTGTTTTTGACAAACGAGTCTCTGTGGAGCATGGTTTGGTGCCAGGAAATTTCAAACTTTGCTATGGTTGTAAGCAGCCTGTGAGTGATGCTGACATGGAAGCCCCAGAATTTGAATATGGAGTCTCTTGTCCTCACTGTTTTTCACTGAAGTCAGATGAAGAAAAGGAGAGGGCTCGAGCTAGACAGAGGCAATTTGAGAGGTGGGGAATCATAGGTGGCCCTGATAAGGGTCGCCGGCCAACTCAAGAACCGGATAGTGCTAGTAGGAAACCAGACCAGCTTTCACGTTCTATTTAACTAATCAGACAAGGAAAATATAAGAAAACATCTTCCATATCTGTTTTGAACAAATGTTTGTCTCCCCTTCAGTTCCCCTCCTCTTCTATGGGTTCGGAGTGCTTGAAACTAGTTGTAGTTTCATTTGGTGTCTAAAGGTCACCGTTTTTTGACATTCTGTGTATTGTAACCAAGAGGATGCTAGAAATTTTGTTCTTTGACATTTTGTTTTATTGAGTAAAATGTGATACCCATCAATAGAAATTTGCTTGTTTAAAGGAACTCGCATTGAGTTTCACCTAATAGTAAGAGTATTGAAAAAAGGGCACAACTAATGTGTTTCTAGTAATCCTCTGTCGTATGCTGTAACCAACTTGTCTAATGCAAACTATTTGTTTGGCATGACTGAATTTATGTGTTACATGAAAGGTAGACTATTATTCATTTGATTATAAATCAAATGTATTGAGATAGTAGCTCCACAAATATAGTGGAGTCAATCCTTCGGAGTACGGGAAGATATGCATGTATTTGAGATGGGGCTCGAATGTTGCAGTTCATCTACTAATTTTCTCAATAATTACTTGTTTGGAGTTAAATCATTAGGATACCAGTTTTATGTTCAGAACAATTTTAGATTTGGCTTCACAACTTAATGCTTTCGCGTCATTGTTTTCGTGGCTCTTTCAATAGATTTCATATTAGACTGATTTCCATAGCTTTAGTTTTTAGGTAAATATTGGTATGCATAAATTTTAGCACTTATCAACAAATTGTTTTGCATGAATAATTTGGTATGCCAACATTCAACAAGCAAATAAAGACAGAATATAGAAAAGAGGAGTTCCGTGTACTATGATCTTTGGTAATGTATCAATACATCCAACTTCAATGATACAATTGGCCACTATTTGTTTATTTAAATACAATTATGGACTATGGAGTCAAAATGAAACCAAATATAGTTCCTTCTATTGAGAAGACTCTTATGGGGAAACATCATTGTTGAGTTCCTTAAGAGTTTGAAACACTTGAGAACTTCTGTCAAATATCTGAGCCCTTCGGTTGTAATCCGTAGGCTCTTTTCCCACGTCTTCACCCATTATTGCCTCCTTTTCCAGACACTCCAACAGCTCCACAACCCCCTTTCTTTCTCCACACTTGTGCCTAAATCTTCCCATTCCACTCCCACCCTTTTCCTCATCTTCATGCTGTTTCATCTCAGCTTCCACTTCTCTCTCCAAACCCCACTTTGCACACCCCACCACAAACCCATTACCATCATTACTATTATTCTTTTGCCGTTGCACAACACAAGAAGCATGCCTTGGCCAAGAAATGTTGAACTTGAAGTTCAACCCTCTCACACTACCAGGAGAGAAAAGAGTTTGAGGTTGACATGGAATAAGGGGGTTATTGGAGTTACTCAAAGAAAGAGAAGTGGAAAAGTTGTTGGTATCAGCAACACACAAAGGCCCTTTCATGTCTGAGGATTTTGGATGGATTATGTATGAATGTTTGTGTTTGAGATGTTATATATATATACACGAGTAGAGACAAAAAAATATATATACACAGGAGGTTTGAAGCAGAGGGATGGTGACCCATGTCTATCCACGTGTCAGTACCACTATCAAGATATATACGTGGCATCTTTCTAGCATGCTGACAGGTCTTTCGAGATCATTGGAGGATTTTCTCGGCAACAAAGAAAGAGGGCATGTGTTAAATACAATGATAGATAACTAATTATCCACTACGCAAATCTAGTTTTGAAAAGTGTCTAAATCTTTATGCCAAAAAGTTTACTGTTGGTAATATAAAATTATTTTGTACATCTAATGTTATAATCATGATATGTATAATTTTTATGTAATTTTTGCAAGAATTTAGAAATTTATTACCCAATACTTTATGATTAAATAATAATGCAAAAAATCTTTACAGTATGTAAACTATTTTTTTCCCCTCTTTTAGTGTTTTTCAAATAAAGATGCATGTAATTCAAATTTTAATATACGATAGGTCAAAAGAAAATGCCATTTTGGAGTTTTATCGACAATTTGCTTGTGTTGGCGGAGATCCAGTATTTTCTGAATCTTTATGTAAAGAATTAAAAAAAAAATTTTTTCAACAAAGATGTGAATTAGGAAGGATTGGTCGACGAAATATGAACCAAAAGCTTAATCTTGATATACCTCAGAACAATACATTTCTGTTACCACGAGATATATTGACAGCTGCGGATCATTTGATTGGAATGAAATTTGGAATGGGCATATTTGACGATATAAATCATTTGAAAAACAAACGTATTCGTTCCGTAGCAGATCTATTACAAGATCAATTTGGATTGGCCCTGGTTCGTTTAGAAAATATGGTTAGAGGAACTATATGTGGAGCAATTAGACATAAATTGATACCAACTCCTCAGAATTTGGTGACTTCAACTCCATTAACAACTACTTATGAATCTTTTTTTGGATTACATCCATTATCTCAAGTTTTGGATCAAACCAATCCATTGACCCAAATAGTTCATGGAAGAAAATTGAGTTATTTGGGCCCCGGAGGATTGACAGGGCGAACTGCTAGTTTTCGGATACGAGATATCCACCCTAGTCACTATGGACGCATTTGTCCAATTGACACGTCTGAAGGAATTAATGTTGGACTTATTGGATCTCTAGCAATTCATGTGAGGATTGGTAGTTGGGGGTCTATAGAAAGTCCATTTTATGAAATCTCTGAGAGATCTAAAAGAATACGCATGCTTTATTTATCACCAAGTAGAGATGAATACTATATGGTAGCAACAAGAAATTCTTTGGCACTTAATCGAGATATTCACGAGGAACAGATTGTTCCAGCCCGATACCGTCAAGAATTTCTTACAATTGCATGGGAACAGGTTCATCTTCGAAGTATTTTTCCCTTCCAATATTTTTCTATTGGAGCTTCCCTAATTCCTTTTATCGAACATAATGATGCGAATATCAACAGAATTACAGACTCTTGTGGGTAGATAAGTAGTATGCATCGTGTATACTGGGATTGACTGAGTCACAGACTGAATCAACGTAGCCCTGCCTTCCATCACAATATCCTCAAATAAATCCTTGTTCTCATTATTACCAGATGAGGCCTTAGCCCCAGTCATCACAGATTCTTCTTCCATAGATTCATCCCGGCCACTTTTATTGTAATCCTGCCGGCACCAAAAAAGATCTTCCAAGATCAGTCACCTTAGAAAAACCACAATCTGAACTAATAGATGCTCATATTTCCCAAGGGAAATTATGGGAAGGAAAGATATCTTGGATTTAATTAGAAATATATATTTTTTTACCTATTTAAAACATATTACTTTAAAAAACTTTTTATTTTTAAAGCGTGATATCTCAGACAGTATGGAGTAAATAATATTAGTTAATTAAATAATTAATTATTTGTATAGTAAATTAGTTAAATAGTTAGCATTTAATGATAATAATACATTGACAACTTAAAATAATTTTACAGTTATTTAATCATCATAATTCATATAAATGATAAATTTGTCAATTTTTATAATAGTTACCTTTAAAATCATGTAAGCCATAATTTTTTATTTGTTGATTGTATAGAACTTTTTATACAGTAAACTATTAAATCCAAATAGTTACGGATGTTTTTCCCCCTTGTTTGAATTGTCTATAACTATTACACCCTTTCTGTGAATGAGGTTTACAGATAGAGAATGAGAGAGACAAACACAACTAATTAAGCTCACCTAAAGGATTAGTATTAATATATTAACATATATTATACAGATCTCTACTAAAAAATGAAAACTCGTAAATGACTAATTATATGTACAAGAATAAATAAATTTATAGATATTGGACGCTAGAATTATGGTTAGAAGAATCAATGGTTAACAGTTTATTGCATTGCATCTCCTCTTGCCTCTTAAAATCATGTACTTTGTTCATTAAGTCTCCTCTCAGCAGCTATAGCAGCGGCCACTGATGGTGGCAAGTGTCTTAGATTTGCATTTGTGTTGGTATTTTCATCACTTTCTGGCATCGTTAGTGGTGCTCTAGACAGCAAGGCTTCCACATCCTTCAGGGTCAAAACAGGTTGATCTTGATTTTTAGTGTTACCACTGATGAATGAATGATTGCTCCTGCTTCTGTTCAATTTATATATACTCTCTTCAACCGTGTCTTTTACCTAACACATGCAGGAACAAGATTATAAGAGAAATTCATCATGTGTGAATTTATTTGAGACAACTTAGTCCAGAAATAAGAAAGTAAGAGACAAGCATGATTAGCTAAATCAATGGGACTAATAAATTCATAAGCGCTCACATAAAATTCACAATTCGAGTAATGCAGATGATATTTTGATATATGAAGTAAGGAACACAAATGGGATAGAAAACACAACTAAAATCAAAACAATGGAAGCAACGGAATTAGGATTATATTGGTAAGTCATAAATTTAGGTTTGTTAACATACATTTTCAAGGGTATAGATTGCTAAAAAAAACTCGAGAATAAGTGAAAATGTTTGCATTCATGGATGCAAATATACTTCACTTATTTTATAGGAGGAATTTAGCAAGTTATAACTTGGATTTGTTCAAGTATTCCCAAAGGTGTAGCTTGCTATATATGTCATGCATTGGTACAAGGATATTGACACCTGCATGGCATATAATCAGTTTCAAACATCCGAAGGCTGGTAAGTTAAGATGAACTAAGAATTGAATTTAAGATTTTTGAACAACGAAGCAAATATCAAATCCATGGTCTCCTTTTATTTGCAGATTGTCGGATGGATAGTCGATAGTGACTTTTGAGAACAACGATCATTATGTGGGTGTTTGGAATACTATAACAAAAATCATTTTTCCTCCTTGACAGGATCGAAAGGTTGCATTTTTATAAAAACAAGACCCTTTAGAGAGAATCTTCAAAGACCATGGCAAAGGCAAACAGTCACCGAAGAATGCTCTACGGTTTATTTAAGTCAAGAGCACATAAAAAGATAATATTTACAATTGAGTTTGCACACATGGAGAGGGAGAGAATTAACAATGCTCACTTAATAAACTACTTCCGGCTATAAGCCTATGAAACTTACAATGAAACGATGAATGAGGGTCTTATTCTTTTGTCCAATCCGATGTACACGACTGATTGCTTGGGCTTCAGCAGCTGGATTGAGTAAAGGCTCTACAAGGACCACATGCTCTGCTTCCAAAAGATTGAGTCCATTGGCTCCATGTTGGATTAAAAGCAACAACACCTGAATAGATTTTGCTGTTGACCCCTCACATCCTCTTGAGCCATTCTGTTTTCCTCTAAATTGACTGATGGCAACATGTGCTTTTCTGAACTCAAAAAATTGATAACCAAAATAACATTAGTATAATGAAGTAGAAATTCGCTGATAGTCTAAGAAGTAGATCATCAATCATTCTTATTAACTGAGGCAAAAATCCTGATTGGTTCCATAAGAAATAACCAAGACAAATTTATGGACTGTAAGATTGAAAACAGCATAACCAGCACTTGATTTCAACTCCTGATTTCTGTCTATATAACTCATCCCTAACATTTCAAATTTCTCAATTGAGTTTCGTATTCATGTTTTCACTTGAATGTTGTCCCTCCATTTATGTATTCAATTTCACGTCACAACAGTGATGATGTGTCTGCATTTGAACAATTTTAACACTTGAATTAACTCACAATTTAGTCCTAACATTTGAGCGTTATACCGAGAGTGGAGAGATTGGACTTAGACTAAATTAACAAAGGATAATATCACGGAAATTGTTAAATCCAATAAATTGTGTAAAATTATGGATTCAAAATTTTAAATGCCATATTACGGTCTAAATGTAATGTTGGGTGACACGTTATACTAACATCATTATTAGGTGATTAATGGAAACATAAGAGAGATCAAATTGAAGTAAGTTATGAACTTAAGGGACCCAAATGAGAAGAGGTAAAAAGTTCGGAATGTATTGAGAAAGAAATTAAATGTGTGGAACCACAATAGGATCTTAGTGATAATCTTTTCTTTGCCTATCCTGTATCTTTTTTCCCCAAATGAATGTCTAGTTCCAGCATAAATACACAAGTAAATGTAAAAATAGTAATCGCATAGATTATCATACCTTCCTCCCTTCATCCGGATGTAGGTAATGTTATTGGCAGCAAAGGCATGCTCCAATACATCAAGTACATCATTCCAACTGGAAAATACAAGAACTTTTGCTCTATGATCGTTAGCCTTTACCCACAAGATTCTTCTTGTGACTGCTTCAATCTACAACAAACCCAAATAAAAAATAATAATAATAAAATGAGGAATACAAGAGTGAGAGGGCAGAAGAGATATAGTATAAATCAAATAAGCCAAAGCATGTCTTATTTGCTGGAACGAGCATGTGTGACATGCATGCATGTGGAAAAGAATTATGCTCATCTATCATGAGGGTATCAATCAAATTTAAGTTGTTGTGTTAAAAAAAAACCTTAGTTCCATATGAGCCTTTAACACTAATGGATGCTTCACATTTTTCACTGCTGCCAATTGTATGCAGCACTGAAGAATTGGAAGATTCATTTTGTGCATCAACAGCATAGGCAATGTTTCCAAAATCGGTATGCTGTCGACATGTAGGGCACATCACCCAATTATGAAGCTTGCTATTTTGAAGTCTTTGCTCGGTCATTGCAAATAAACCTGTATAAAATAGATTCATAGTTACGTTCCATATAATATTTGTTTCAAATCCAATAAATGCTTAACCATATGTCTGTTGAACACAAATGGATGAAAGTAACACTAGAAGAGCACGCAATATGCATACTGATAGTATTTTCCTTACTTCCTGTTTTATGTGGGCACAGAGAAATGCATATTATCAATGCTAATTCAATATACCAGTATTTTTAGAAGTGCAGATAAAACAAGGGAAACATTAAAGATTTTCTATACTACAGCAGCAACTATATCTATGGTAACAAAGACTGAAGTATGTACAGGTCTCAGAACAACTTGTCAAGGACTAACTCTTAAAATCTTAAACAAGTAGGTAATGACAATTGAATGCCTTCATTACATCTCTAACATTCCCTTTCGTCCAACAACCCTATAATTTGAGCTTCAAGTGGGGACAATGCCACTCATATTTACCATGAAAATCTCAACGTATTATTTAGAAGAATGAACAAGGATCAAACTCTACATTACTTGATTATAGAGGCTTTAATAACATGTCATGAACCAACTCTCCTAAAAGCTTAAGTGGCTAAGTGAAAATGAATGAGTTTATTAAAGCATCAACAAAACTAAAGAATGATAATATAAAGTTAGCTCGTATAATTCTTACATTTACAGCATGTTAGATGCCCACATTGAAAAACCATTTTCTGACTGCCTAGCTTTTCTTGGCAAATTGGGCATGTTTCGTCATCAGTTTTAGATACAAGTGCACCCTTCTCTTCTGTAGAGTTTGACATTGCAGTTGTCTCTCGTGTGAATGAAGAACCATTTGGACTTTCGAATTGCAGTTTTTGCTTAGACTGAACCAAACCCTGAAAATGGTTCAACATAGGTTAGATGCCCACACCAGAAAAGAAAATATCACATTCCACATAATCTTGGTGAGGAAGCTCGGTTCAATTTAAAAATAGCATGTTGAATTTTTATTTGGATGGAAAATAACAATCACGAAGGAAGAAAAAGACCACTGGATCATTAACTTAAACTTGTTATCCTACCCAAAACAATAAAATGAAAAAGAAAATACCTTAAACAAGCCAAAACAATAAATCTTCCAATCTAGCTGATTTACTCAAAATAAAATATGATAGATATTGAATGATAATGATATCCGAAAAAAGAAAAGAAAATAGAATTAAGATTAAAGCTAGGCTACATGATCTATTCATGCATAGTTGAAGAGATAACACTTGAAGGAATTAAGAGGATCACTATATCTTTAGACAGCAAAGATTTCCTTTGGGTAAGTTATTCATTCAATTCGTATTAATGAGTTTCTAAACAAATTTTGGTTTATGAATGAACTTCTATCTGATCATCCATAAGATATATTTCCTATGTCCCTTATATCAGTTCATGATTACTGTCAATAACCAATTCTCAAATCGTTTCATATTTCGAACATGTTACACCCCCTCGTGCAAGAACCCTACAAGACTGAAGCATGGACAATAAACAAGCCAACCTTATCTTGTGCTGGAATTCTTAAATTAATTATGAAGAATGAGGACAGCCACGATTAAACTAACCACTTTGTCATAGAAACTCAACCTCTCCTAAAAGCTTAAAGTAGTTATATGGAGGCCCATGACACGTGAGTGATTTTACACCTCTATCAATTATTAATGAAAATATTCAGTTGTTGAAGATTTCAGTAACAATTGAAACCCCTTCAACTTCAGCGAACTTAGCAGCCATCATTAATTGTTCAATGGTGACCAATTTCACATTTGATTATTTAGAAATTTAGCAAATATATATAAAGATAAAGTCAGAAAACAATTTCAATATATACAGATTTCTATGAGTTATTTCTGTATACCTTTAAGTAGCGGAGTTTTCCTTTTATCTGTGACAACATGGTCAATGACATAAACTTATCATGGGAAAAGTTTGAGCTAGCTGCAGATAATTCGTTTTCACCTAAAGCATCAAGAGATTTATCATCTTCACTTGCCCGTAGGTGCAAACGAGAAACTGCCATCTTTATTTCATCATGTGCACGCAGATACTGAGCTTGAGCTAATGCCAAAGACCTTGCATGGCCAAACTCCTTTCGCATTCCCTTACAAAGTCAACAAAAGAGGATCAGAATTAAGTCAATCAAAGTAGTCAATTAAGATAATCTTAACTTTTAAAAATATTTTGCAACTGAGCAGAATCAACCTATCCTGAAAAGCTTTCTTTCTATTTACTTGTTTTTTGGGAGGAGCAAAGATTCAAAATAAAAACACTCTAGATCAATACCTACTAGAGGAATCCCATCCATACAAAATGTTTATTAGGCTATACCTCAAAAATATGTAAATGCTTGGTGGCAGCTGAGACACTGTCCCTTCCTAATCGACCCTTGCAGCAGTTCCTTATAACTCCAAGAATAAGCTCCAACTCAGATGCTGATCTTGAAACCTAAAAGACTCGGCATAATCAATATGGAAGATTAAAAAGCACATGCTACACATTAAAAATACCAACCAAATTTCCTTAACTGAAAAATGAGCCTATCATCATTGATGGTCAGCCTCCAATTGACTTTAAAACAATATACTATACTATGGTTAGGAACATTGGCAACAGTGAAATTTAATTCAACAATTCACAAGAATTGAGAATTTTCCTGGACAATGGAAAATGGTGTTGAATCCATTGATATATTTCAGGAGTCTTTTTTCATTTTCACTTCACTTTTTGTCATGTTTCAATTCTGGACTGTTTCAATAGACACTGAATATTTTATATCGATTAAAGAGGATAGGAATTATCTTTAATAAAAGAGAGTGAGAGAGAGAGAGAAAGAGAAAGAAGGTATATTCAATCTGCACCTGTGTCTATGACCTAAAGCAAATATCAATCAAATGAAGTAACTAACCACAACTCTCTGTCCAACATTCCTTTTCTTCGATTCTTCATGACTAATATCAGATACTGTAGAGCTGTGATTAGATTGTGATAGCTTTGAGAGGAAATGATTCAATGCAAATGTTTTCTTCTGAAAATCTACCGCCTCCTCAGCAGATGAAATGATTCCTCCGCGTTCATTCTTAAGAACAAAGAGTCTCGCTTCATAATCCTAAGGAAAAAATAAACCATGAGACCATATTACATTAATTAGATACAGGATGATTAAAATTTACAGATAAATTAAGTGGTAAACCTGAAACAATTCATCTAGTTCACACAAAACGCACGGGGGACCATCACAATTAGGCTGACAATTTCGACATTTACCCACTCGTTCAATATCTTCTTCTTTTGGTTTTTCCATTGTCTGATCAATATCTAACAGTCGATCTAGGAGTGTTTTTCTAGATGCCTCTAAGTGATCCAAACCTGTCTGAATTTGATACTTCAGAGAGCTTATGCTCCGGAAACTGGATTAAAGTGACACACATTAGTAACAGTGCATGTAATTGTCAATTTACTACTAGCAATTTATCAAAATTTCTTAGCAAAGAATTTTGAAAACTTATTGCACAACAGCAGATCCCTCCCAAATACCATGTATTAGAGATTTAAAATCCTTCATAAACCTTCACTGATAGCATAAGCTATTGGGTATTGGTCTTCAACATGGTATCAAAGCCTCTCTAACCAAGTGGTTAGAAGTTTGATTATTGCTGCACCCACTATTAATAATTAAGTTGAATTTCAGCACAAGCTAAAATGAGTTTTTGCATTGAAAATAAAACCATTAATGAACTTTTCAGCTGACAACTTTAGCAATCAGGAATGTTGGTCATTGACACCATATAATTGAAAATGACCAGCAGTAACTTATTACTTGTATCTGAAACATTGTTCATAACAAGGTCTTTTTTGTTGATATCAGTTATATTATAACTGTACATTGTTCAACAACTTTTTTTATGGTGATCCTACATATTTGATCAAACATAACTTAGAATGTTAAGGATATGGACTATCACAAAACTCCAGTAGTTGACAATTGTGTTACACAATCAAAGCATCACTTACCGAGCAGCTATTCTTGATGACTTTGAATTGTTTGAAGTTCCTGAGATGGCTTCTTCTATCTTTCTAATCAACTCGGTAGAGAAATCTTTGTTCTGCTCAGCATAATGGAGTGCTTCTAGCCACCAAAATGTATTTTGATCTGTTTTGCTCTCACGATGTGCATTACAGACCTTCCAAAAGTACAAATGTCATTAACAGAAAATAGAACTGGGGCACTAGATAAGGGATATAGTAAAATGGAAATATCAGTAAAGCAAAAAACAAATACTGAATAGACTTATCTCTTCATAATTTTAAAATAATAAAATATATCAACAAAGTATGATATTGCCATGTATCTCATGGAATTAATTAAACATCAAGATTGCTTAGCCTCAAAATGAAACAAGATTATTAATATATCTTACAATTTGGGTTTAGTGCCTTATTCAATTCCACAAAACCAGTTTGAAAGGTAAAGACTCTCCAAGCTTTATAACCTCTATTTAAGTCATATTTCTAGTTGATGTTAGACTAAATACTGCCCTTGAAGCTGCAATTAAGGCAGCCCCAAAAGAAGCCACAACTAAGGTGGGCTAGGGGTAACCGCAATTAAGGTGGATTACCTACTCCTCTTGTATTCTTTCCTTTTTTAAGTTTAACTATGTAAACAGAAGGCAGGCACAAGTACAGTGATACATTTTGGATGAAATTGAACTGAGGGAACCAAGCTGTATGGTTAGTCTTTGTAGGAATCAACTAACTGTCTAAAAAAAGAAAGGTCTATATAGATTTTGGGAAAAAAAAATATATCATTACAGAAATATAAGAGCAGTGTCTGCTCCGAGCCAAGGATAATACCTTTGACCCAGCTATGAGCTAAGAAAACTGAAAGGTATTCCCCTTATATCCTCCCCGTATCTTTTTTCTCTATCTAATTCATAGTTTAGGCTTAGATCTCAATGTGTAGAAGGCCCATCCTGTGTCTGTACACCGAAGTCACTATTGTTATCCGTCTTATAATAAAATATGACAGTTGTTAGAAGAATCTCATAAATGCTCGCTGTGCCATAAATTAATGATGGAAAAACTGTGTTAGGAATCAATGTAGTAAGAAACAAGGTAGTTATGACACCACATACAAAGACTTGATAGGAGATAAGAATGGAAATAGGTCAAGCCTTAAATAAAAATCTATAATTTGACCTAATTTAAGTTTAGTTTGACCTAACCTATTTAATAAAAACACCAAATTTAAGTTTTTAAAAAACTATTTATTTAAAAGAGCTGGATTTAAGCTTATAAAAAAAATATTATGCCCAATAGGCCAACTTTTTTAACTATATAATATAATAAAAGTTAATATACATATTACATTATTAACAATATAATTAAATAAATTAATTTGTAATACAAAAAAAAATAAATTATCTATATTTTTTACATTTTCACTACACTCAAATGTTTTACATTCTCTGTTTGCAAGAAATCAAGAAATAAAAAATATAAACTTTGGCGGCTGCATCTTAGCATGTTCTTTTCATTCACCTTCATGGTTGGTTAATTGGAATATTCCAAATGGGATATAGGGAATATTCCAAATGTGATTAGCCTCTTTCATCACAGCCTATGCATGAGAGTGTACATGGATATGTATGAGTTGTCACTCTTACATTAGTTTTTTTTCTTTTAAAATCTAAATTTTAATAATAATGGAGTGAACATTTTTTTTATCACAAATTATAAAAAGACTCACACACGTACTTAAAAATAGATTTATTGTCTTATTTAAAATTAAGTTTATTGGCTTGTTAATGTAAAATAGGTTTTTAAATAGGTCAGACTTTTAAAAAGGCAAAGACAGGCCTATACAAATGTCTATAATAGATAATATGCCAAATTTAAACTTTAATTTTATAAAGCAAGTCTAGCCTATATATATTTAATGCCTACTCTAGCTTATTCTCATCCTTATTAAGGGGCTTTTACTTTAATATATCATTTTATATTCTCAGTAATCACACTCCAACGAATATCATAATTAAGAATGTTATTTCAGGGTATATTTAAAAAGGTGTTTGATTACATTTTAATATTAGGAATATTTTTAAAAATTAAATATAATTTAAATAAAAATGAAATTTACAAGTGTAATAGAAAATTACTGATCATATTCCCATGGAAATATCTCTTTCCCACCCCCTTATCATCGAATAAAAGTTGTCTAAAACATGGAAATATAACTTTCCTGGGAATAAAAGATACCAGGAAATCTTTTCACATAACCTTCTAACAAATATAGAAATAAATATTCACAAGAATAGGAGAAGATGACGAGAAACGAAACCCCCTTAGATTTTTTTGCATTCCACAAGAAAAGATCAACTTATATTTACAGGAATCTAGACTGGGTCATAAACAAATCTCAAAGTTCAACATAAATGAACAAAATTATTCCTTAAGAACCATTGAAGATGCCTACCTGCGTGTAAGAATTTTGAAACTCCAGTTGAGCTGCAGATAGCTTTGAACTGAAGACAGATAAGTATTTCTGCTTTGAATCTTCACATTCTGCTATTAGAGATTTGACAGAATCAGCTGATAAATTATCAAATTCCTGATCCTCATTTAAGTCATCTTCTGAAAGGCTAGATGCAATATTTGATGGTTCTGCAGATGGCACTGTCACATTTACGTCATCACAACCACTCAATTTTTGCCTCTTCACAAGACAATGATCGACCTTTATAATTAGATGCCTTTTGGTTGTCTTAAATTCAGAAAACCCAGAGAACTGCTTTCCTTTGGATGGCAATACTGAAGAAAAGTTCGAAGCCAGTGGGAGTATTTCAGCAAGATTATGATGAATGTGGATATTTAACAACGGATCCAGACGGAAATCTTCAGAATGCTCTTCAGCCAAAGTAAGAGCTTCACTATACAGTAATGTAGCTTGAGAAAAATCTTTTTGTATGGCAGCAATAGCTGCAAGTGCATTCAGAGCAATAACTAACTTCCTGAGAGCTTCCTCACCTTCTATCTTGGTCTTGCTTATAAGAACCTACAGATTAAGTTTCATATCAGTTGGAAGAAATGTTTGTATTGTATGTAAAAACATATCAAGATCCTTTCTAGTAACATACCATTAGTATTTCCTCCATGGTCATAGGTGTCTGCTGCATGGAACGCAACCCAGAACTTCCAACCTGGGGATGACAACAAGCCTGACGAAGCTTCAGCAAAGCATTCAGTAGCTTCCCTGCCTCAGTGTGAGTGATCAAAGGATCAGAGGAACCGTTCAAAGAGACAGAATCTGGAATCCACATCAAATATTGCAAATTCAATCATTACCCTAGATGCACATTTCTTTCAAAAATGACTTCCAAAATGAAATTACATAACACTGGGCAAAAACCTGGGACTTTTCTATTAAGAATATCATTTCTCAAACTTTCAATTACTTCATGGGCATCTCTAACACAAGTTTCATGTTGCCTCTGGTAAAAGTGCTCCTCTACTGGTGAAAGTGTAAGCCAAGAGAGGCACTCATCTTGAGAGGGAAGGTCCAATTCATCTGCAACATGTTCTTTAGAAGAACGCCACATGATTTGTTTGAAAATTTTGTGGGTAAATTCCATTGCTCCTGCATCTCCCTTCTGCAGAAGTATAGAGTAATAAATAGATATATACAAACCATTTTGAGCTCTGCTGAAGGGAAAAATGATTTAGAAGGGCATGACAAAATTAGAGATATCTAGACTAAGATAATATTGAAGAAAGGTAACTGAATGTCTCTAAACACACGAGGCTTGTAGTATGACAAATGAGAATACAATTAGGACTTAGATTTCCATATTAGCGCTACCTGCTAAGACAGTAAGACTAGTATGTTGTTTTTGGCTATTACCATAAAGAACATAACTGAAACCTGGTAAATATTCAATTTTTATATATAAAAGAAAAAGGAAAAAAAAAAACTAATAATAAGGAAAGTCAATCAGCAACAAATACATAAAACATTAAATTACAGAGAAAATACCTCATAAGGATCTCGAATAACATCAGTCCACCACCTGTATGTATCGAAAGGACTAGCTTTAAGGAATCTTAGAAGTCCATACAAGTCATCAAGCTTTCGCTGAATTGGGGTCCCAGTAATGCACCAACGATACTTTGAATGGAGTCTTAGAGCCATTCCAGTGGCAGCAGTAGCATTACTCTCCACCATTTGTGCCTCATCCAAGCAAACCCTCCACCAGTATATTCTTGTAAGAAGAGTTGGGATAACTGGGTATCTACAAGGACAAAAAGGCTACTAAAATACTTGAAACCATAATGGACATGCCGAGACCTAAATTTTTTCTAATGCATAACATGGGAAACTGAGAATCCATACGCAAGGTTTGATGTAAAGGTTCAAAAACAATTAAAAATCATAAAGAAAATATAACACCTCAGATACAAAGTCAAATAAACTCAAACTCATCATGCCATTCTTAGATGTATAGTAAAACATCCTACATATGATATAATAACAGGGGGAATATCACTCTATGGAGCAAACCTTTTCTGAAATCTCAGAACATGTCGGTCACCTTCATGCCTATCAGAATCATGGGTCAAATCCTCTTTAAGCACATCATATGTAGTTAATACAATGTCAGCACTAGCAAGATCACTGATATCCATCAGAGACGTATTGGAAAGAGATGTGTCTCGCACACCTTCATAAACACAAGTTTTCAAGGAGTCCTGATGGGTATGACTGCAGTGACAAATAAGGCTAATGAGACAGTTGTGAGTATGATTAAATTAAATAACTAAAAAACATTACACTCTGTTATCATATCACAATTCACAAAAACTATTGAAGCATATGGCTGCAAGCATATTACTCCTCAGTCCACACAGGATAAGACTAAAATTAGGACCATACCCAGCATTATATAGAGCGAGAGGATCAGGTCCTCCTAGTAGCAACACACACACACACACACACACACACAAAAGATCATAATTTTCATTATAAAAAAAAACCTATACCGTAAAATTTCATCATGCCACTGGGGCAAAATAGGAGCAGGGCAGACAATGAGAGTGGCACCAGAGGCAATAGGAGATTCAGTAGCTTGTATTAGTTCAGAGCACATCTGACATACATATTCTCCATCCCTCACAGCTATGGTAGTTTTATATGTCTTGCTTTCACATCCTTGTTTTGATTTCAAAGATTTTCCTTTAAGTGAATAGCCAACACAGTCCGCATGTTGCCAAGCATCACAAATGTCACACTGAACCCATAGTCCTTCATATTTAAGACTTTCGCTCACAGCTCCACAGATGCACTCAACACGTTCTCTCTTAAGTCTTTTCAAAGTGACTTTTTGATCACCATTAATTTGGGGCTCTAAATCAATAAATATATTACTTCCAGATGCTGATCTACGGTGAGCAAATATGCAAGCAAGCAATTCAACAGTTTTTCCCAAGCCCATCTCATCTGTTGCATTAAAAAAATTTAGGCATCAAAGACAGAATTTTCGCGTGTACTGAAAAATGGGAAACTATATAAGTACAACATCCAGATTTTATCAATAATGTCAATAAAGACAAACTCCAACACCAAGTCAAAGAACAACTCTCGGAAAAACCTAAGCTATTGGTGGATTCTATAGAACATATAAATACTAGATATAAACAGGAATTGATAGGATTTCAACAGCATTGACAGCTGGATGCTATCAGCAGACTCGTATTGATCCAAAAGCCGCAAGATTCAATAGATTATTCATTAATCATTATAACATTAGTTTTTCTAACATGGTAAATACCTAGAATCTTTCAAACTAGAATGAAGCAAAAAGACATGAAGAGAAAGATGAATTATGCAACATAGCTTGGGACCTACCAGCAAGAATGCCTCCAAATACATAAGGCGAAGAAGTCTCTGGGCACAATGAAATATTTCCACTGAAGCCATTGTAATTCAAATAAGCATAAGGGAAGAAAGAATGAATTCATAATAGTTGGGGGAGAAAGAGAGACCACCCAGACATGAATTATGCAGTAAATAAGAACACATAGATATTATATTTTGAAAACTGGTCAATAAAACTTACCTGAAAGGATTGAAAAACATTTGAGAACTTGTGTCTAGAAAATCCACAGGTATAGACAATGGGGAATGAAACTGATTTCTTTCTCTTTCACCCTGACTTTCTTCCACTGCTTTCTCCCGTTCTACCATCCAGAAAGCTGCACGCCTTTGATATGGCCTCAATTTTGGAAGTAACTCTGGCATGTCATCTTCAAGCATTGGCTCTGCTCTGTACACAAGATATACAAAAGATAAACAAAAAAAATTGACTTGAGATTGATTTTCACTAGACCTGGGTAAAGTTTGAAGGATATTACTAACCCCAGTCTTTTATATAAGAAAGGAATGGGTACTGTTTTTTGGTCTTAATTATAAGAAACATAGACTCACTTTAACATGTATTAATTGCTAGTTTCCTTTTATACCAGTAATTTATTAAGGAATATATTAATGAGACACTTATTTACCTCATAAAAGTGGATGCATTTATATTCATTGGTCTAATAACAATACAAGTGACACTTATTGGTGGAAAAAATCATCTCTTGAATTAAGTTAGTGTTATTAAATATAATAACTACTTAAATCATTATATTCAAAGGGTATTTTTTAGAATAAATTTTAATTTATGGCATCATTAATTAAAATTAACTAATTTAACTCCTTTTATTGGTCTTGAATCTTGATGAATTATTTGTTTCTTATACAAAGGAGTAGAAGTAGTATTATATGATCAACTGACCATTGTACCAATTATTGATATACCTTTAAATTAGAAATTAAGGCCAAAGGGAATGCTCAACTTACTTTGAAGGCTTAATGGCTTCATAGAAACCTGCAGGATCAAACCTTGAATGTTTCTTGGCATGGTAAGTCTCATCTGCCATCTCTGTCTGTGGATCAACTTCTATTTCCATATGGCTACCAAACCCATACCTAACTTCCGAAGTCATTATTTCTGGACGTAGCCAAGACATTACATTCATCATACTCTTTTTCCATAGTTGTCTAGAATTCTCAAGAAGTGACTCGCATGCATCAAAGGCACTCTTTAGTACCTCAACCCTTACCCTGATGGAGGAAATTTCATCAGAAAGCCTAACCCCAAGAACTGGCCTCAGCGTAACAAACTTCAAACTTGCTAAGTGAAGAAGACCAGTAACACCTTCATCAGGCCCATCAAAAATACCAGAAAACAACACTGTGTATGTTTCCATCTGCTCAACAGTATCTCTTGTTACAAACTCTAGATGAATATCAGTACAGGGTAACACGGGCCAATGGCCTAATTTAATTCGACCAAGAACATTATTGACATTACACACCCGAAATCTTAACGAGTGCTGGGGATCCCTATAAAAATCCTCAGACAGTTCAAAACCGGAAAATTCTTCTCTCAAATTTAAGTCCCCCAAAACAACTTCAGAAATATCTAGGTGTTCACTCAACAACCAACCCGTCCGGTCAACCTCAACAAAATAAGGCTTATCAATGCCACAAGAATCACCTTTTTCTTCTTCCCGTCCTTCTACAGCATTTTGTTTATCCAATTCTGTCTCAGCAGTAGCATTTGTCTCTAGTATTATCCCACCTGATCGATGTGGTTTACTTTTTTTTCTACCCATCACTTATCACCACTGGCCTAAAAATAAATAAGTAAACAATTCAACAACAAAAATAAATGCTAACCTATATTTCAAATAGTATTACATCACAAAGATTACTTATGATTTAATTGAAACCGAAGCTCAACATGGATCCACAGAAGTTCAAAGATTTAGCATATAGACTTGGGTTTCCAAACAGCACAAGCATAAAAAACAGATGAAAGTCATTCTTATACTATCATAACATAAAGTTAAGAACAAACTAAAAAATAATCAAACATAAGCTGAGAAGGCATAGGTTGATCGAATGAGAAACATTCAAGAGTTGCTAAATGCAAGTACGCAACAAGGGGTTGGAAAGAACAAAACCTCAAGTGAAATTTAACAGAATACAGAATTGAATCAAAGGGCGAGAAGAGCAAGGGAACAAAACATTTACACCATCCCCAAAGTCCGAAACTTGAGTTAAGTTTGAGGAACCCAATTCAACAATGAGTGTTGCACGTGAATTTTTGCACGGGAAAAACGAAGGGGGGGTTGGAATTGGCACCTGAAGAGAGTGAAGAGAGCATGAATTGGGGAAGCGAGAGAGAGAGAGAGAGAGCATGCAGCAGGTGAGTGAGTCGCACGTGCGAGTCAGCGAGCCTGCAAAAGTTGCAACAAGTTGGGAGATAAATAGATAATACGAATCCATAGGTCTTGCTTCCACTCTCATTTTACCAATATCACCATTCTACCCTCATCTTTTATTGAATTTTTTTTTTCCTTCAAGAAAAATTACATCATTTAATAGAGGTGAAAACAACATTTTGTACTTCTATATAATTTTATAAAAAAATAAGATTTAATTATCTTTTAAGTCAATAATTTTATAATTTTATATTTTATTCTCTATAATTAAAGACGTTTTATTTAAGTATTATATATATAAGTCAACTCATAAAAAAAAGTGACTAATGAAAACATCAATTTGTTAAAATTTTAAAATTTAAAGATCTAAAATAAAAATAGTTTCAAAAGTTAAATATAAAAATAACTTAAGGAATCGAAATGAACAACTTATAAATATTTGAAATTTTAAAATTAAAATCTCAAATATTATTTATCTTTTTTACTCCGACCTATTTTAAGTGTCAGTTACACGACATTTATAAGACATTAAAATTATTATTCTTTTTTATTTATTTATTAAAATTTTATCTATATAAATTAATATTAGATGATACTTATTATGAGACAATAATAATAATAATAATAATAACATAAAATTACATTCATTTTCTTTTTTAGTAGGTTTTTTTTTTGTTAATTGATGAGTAACTTTTTCTTTTTTAATTATATATATAATATTTTTCTAATAATTTATTGAAAGATAAAATTAAAAATAAATTATATGCATTAATATTGTAACATTGTGCTTTCTTAATTATGCATATTGTAATAAATATAATTAAGTAATATATTTTGTATTGTTTTTATTATTGTAGCTTTTGCGTGGTGAAAGTTAGAATTGTTATAACTCTAAACTTAAGTTGTAGATGATATAATTTAAGTGTCTGTGAGTTGATTTGAGGTGAAATACCTTGTTTGGATGGAGAATTTATAAAGAATTTGAAATTCAAGCATTTGTGAAATTCCTTGAAATAGTAGAATTTCAAATTCTCCCAAAAAAGTAAGAATTTGAAATTCCTCATATTTTTTTTCTTCATATTTCACTTATATATTTTATCTTATCTCATATCTCTTCATATTTTTAATTACTGAATATTTAAAAATATTTTTAAAATTATTAAATATTATCTAATATTAATTTTTAAAATTATTAAATATTTAAAAATTAGTTAATATTTAATTTTATAAAATTTAATTTAAGAATCTCAACATATAAATATATTTTTAAAATCAAATTTATCATGGTAGAATCAAATTATCATATTTAACCCATAAATTTAAAATTTGAGAAATTTGAATTGACTTATCCAAACAAAATATTTTAAAAATGATGGAAATTGAAATCAAAGTAATTCAAATACCAATAATTTAAAATTCCTTGAATTTGTAAAATTCTTCATCCAAACACACCATAAGAGAATTAAGGTATATAAGATGAATTTTGAATAATGAACTTCATAAATTCACAACTCTATAATTTTAGAGAGATGTTAGTAAGACGTGTTATAGGGCCACCAAAGTCTGATCTTTGATCTAATTCCCTCGGGAGACTCCTTTTCTCCCCTTGTTGGCTAGTTGGCGTAGTAGAAATTAAGATTCAAGCTGAAGAGTTGAGGATCTAAGTTGGTGCAGAGCTTTCGGGATTAGCTTAAAGTAGTTTTTTCTTTTCCTTTCTTCCTCAGTTCATTTTGACTTTGAGGTGAAGGGTGTTAGAATTTGAACATTGAATGATTTGTCAAATTTGGTTGCTGCATGTTGTTGAACTGTACCTAAGTTGTTGGTTGTGTTATTGAATAAAATGATTGGATTCTTGAATGTGGAATTTGGGTGTTTTGAGCATGTGAAGGTGGATTTTGATGATTAATCTCAATGACTGATAGCATGTTGTATTTGGGGTTGGATTCATGTAGTTGGTGAAACATGTGCATAAATGATTTATGGTATGTTGTCAAAGATACCTATGTTAGGTATTATATGTTGCATGCTTAGATTTTTGGTTTATAGGTGTGAAGAGAGCAATTTTGTGATCTGCAAGTGTAGAACTCACTGTTGCGTCGAGCGTATCTTTAATGCGTCAGACGTGATTTCAATCAAAGGATCTATGTCTTTCTCATGCTAGGTGCAGGATTGGTGGCTTCAAACATGAGGAGAGAGAATTACCTCAAGTTGAAATTGTGTCAAATGTGAGTTGAATGGTATTAGATGTGAGGAGAAATAATTGTCCCTGCCTGGATTAGGGTCGAGCATAGGACTTTGTAATGTCAGGAAAGAGGGCTCAAAAGTCTCTACCTAATCCACATTGGGTGTGGGTTATATGGCAGCGAGTATGGGAGAGACAAAAAGTTCCTTACCTCAATGTCATCAGGTGTAGGATGGATACATCAGGCGTCGATTTGCCTTATAACAACTTCTTATTTATATGATTAATCGATGAATATGGATAGATTAAATGAATCTATTGCATGTTTTGTGTTGTTATGTGTGGTGGGGTTTATATATATTGATATTTGGTAATATATGTAGATGGTCGGATGGTTGAACTATTAAGATGCAATTATGTTATAAATTGATTTGGTGATTATTAGATTTATACTCATTAACCTTGGATGATGCGTACATATGGATATTATTGAGGTATGATACTAATAATGCTTTAAGCTTTAGGCATGGTATGTTGAATATTGTTGACCTATTGAAGTGTGATGTTGAGAATGCTTTAGGCATGACATGTTGAATATTATTGACTTGTTGAGGTGTGATGCTGAAAACGTTATAAGTATTTAGGCACATTAATTGCCTAAGGACTAAAAGAAATTTTTTTTAAAGTTGGATATTCTATTGTGTGGATATTGGCATGATACTCTATGAGTCCAAATGTTGAAAAACCCTCATTGAATATACATCATCTCTCAGAGAGGATTGTTAATTTCTCATCTAAATCCTTAGTTGATGTTGGAGTAGGGTATAAAATAAAGGGTTAAAACCCTCAAATGATTACTAGATAAGTACGTGGTATCATAAGGATAGTTAGCCAGACTATAATTCATAAGGGACTTGATTAATGCATGTCAATGTTATGGTAAAACCATACCCAAGTTATACTATACCTAATGGTGGTACTAGACTTTTCTAGTTTAAGTAATGACATCCGGGAAATCATTTTATAGGGATTGATATCTCAATTGGGTGTTGATCTAGTAGGTGTAAAAAAAATTTGTTTGATAAGGTCAATCCATTTAGACTGCTCACCTTTATTATAGGAAATCTTCATAGACGAATGTGTAACAATGCATGTAATTGAGGTGTTGTGCATATGAAGTGATGATTTTGGTGTGATTCATATGCATTGTTGATTATATTGTTGAATGACATTGATGTAGTGAAATATGAATTGTCATATGTTGCTAAGTTGTTTACTTGTGTAAGGTTACGGAATGTCATGTTGAAGTGTTACTGTTATGTTGCTATAGTTGTAAGCCATGAAGTGTTAAGTGTTTTACATGGATATGTTGGTAGTATAGTTGTATTTTCTTATATATTTGGTATGTTGATCTATGTTGCTATGACTATGTTGTAAGTTAAGAACATGTTGTGTTGTGTAGTTAACTTGTAAGTTGGTAGAATATTGATGCTTGTTGTTGAGTTGTTTAAGTTATTGTATAGTTAGTTAATTCTTTGTATACTTTGTTGATTCTTTGTATATTAACTTACTCTTGCATGCTTTCTTGTTGTTATATTATAATAATCATGATTACATGGGAGTAGAACAAGTTTAGGCAAGTGGAGTTTGGCGATTGATGGTCGTGTTGGATGGTGATATAACTTGGTGCTACTTCTGTATAGTTTTGTAAAGTTGTTTGACCAACAACCTAAGTTTACATTATAACTATTTTGGATTACTGTATATGCACGTAGATTCAAGATTGGTGGTTGATTTATCCTTATGTATGTATTTAAATTATTACATGTATCTTTCAAGAATTATTTGTATATTGACCTTAAGTAGTTATTGTACTTTTTCGTGACTAGTAATCAATTTTGTTAAGTGTAAAATCATGACAAATCATTACAAAAACCTTAATATCTATATTATTTTTCAACTATTCTAAATTAATTTTACTATATATATATATATATATATATAT